GAGCTCAAGTCCAAGTTTCAAGAGGAGTTATAACTTACTGGATCGCTCTAAAAAATTCTAATTACAAATTAAGTATCATCATCGTACCAATAATTATCTGTTAGGATCCCACACAGTTTGCTATTGTTTCTTTTCTATTTAAATTTTCATTATGGTTTTGAAAAAAAACATAAGGTCATTGTAGAGTAAGAATACAGAGGAAGAATGATCGGGTGAATGGTCATTAATGAAAAGAAGAGCTCACTAGAATAGCAGATCTGGACTCCTGGTAAACTGGGCTTTTTCAAAACTGCTGAATGGATGGTCATAGACAAAGATTTAGAATTTTAGCACAAGATTTCAGCCTCTTAGCTGGTGATATTTTCTTCTGGCTTTTTCAACATTTTCCCTTACCTATGCAGAATTTTTTAAAAGCGAAACATTCCTTTGCATTTAAAGTCAGGAAACTGGATTTATCAGTTTGAACTCAGATTTGTTTTCTTTTAACCTTTTTTGTTTTGTTCTCTGCATCTAAGAAAGATACAAATGATAAAACTCTTACAAATGTAGTCCTATGAGCTAGTTCTTGAAAGGTACTACTCATGGCTGTATTTAAAATAATCAGCCTGCTTACTTAGCTGTAATCTTATGTTTCCCAGAGATGTGAAAGAAAAGATGTTAAATTCATGAAATAGCTCAAGCAGAAAATAATTCAAGGGCATGAACAAAACTGGGGAGATACAGTCAAGCATCATGGCATTGCTCTAGTATTTGGGGGTGCACGACCTTTACTATTCACCGCTCTGAGAGGGCTTCATGAACAAGGTTCCCAAGCCATCCCACCCCCCTCAGTGGTAAGAGACATGGCTATCCTATCTGAGTCTTTTCTAAGTAGCCAAAAGAACAGCATACATGGGAAATGAAGTCCTTTTTATCAATTATAACTATCTTTAGGCTACTGCAAGACTTTTTATGAAATGAGAAAGCATACAGCCAACATCTTTTTGTGTTCACTAAGTGAGAATGAACAAAGATAGAGCCAGCCCTAAGAGACATCTTCAGAGGTTACAGGCAAACAAATATACTGTTTTTTCCATACTTGTATTATGTAACTCCTTTTTATTTTGTACAGATTTTGGGAAATGAAAGACAGTTCTGGGAAATAAGGTTGTTTTTTTTTCTGGGAAATAAGTTAAAACTTTCATGGATATGGCTTTTGTTTTAGTCCGGCCTCCTCAGAGTAGATTTTCAAAATAAATAATACTTTAAAACAAAACCATTCATAGAAACAGGAAAGCAAAGAAAAAAGTAAAGACACTAAGTAGAGGCCAAACCACGCTGAACTAGCTTTTCGACAGCTACAGATAGAAAATTTAGATTCATAAGTACAAATAAACCCAGTTTTAATTTGGTTACAGTTTATGATCCCAGAGAATACTGAATTCAATCAATAGAAACTTCAAGTGAGAGCACCACAACCCCTACCTACTGGAACTTATTCAGGAAAAAAAATCTACTGCTAGATGCTATCGAGTTATCCTAGAATAAAAGCTACTTTATTCTAAAAAGCAAGAAAAAAGTTTTTGAGATTTTTGTCACAAACCTGACATTTTTATTTCTTTTGTTTTCTGTAACCTATAATATAACATATAATGAGTCTTCCATTCATGAGTTAGGTTTTCACCAAAAAAGTAATTTTGTTGTAGAGAAAACAAATTAATACAATATTACCATTTTGGTATAAGTCCCATATTTGACACCTTTGTTTCTAAAGCTAATGGAGAGCATAAGAGCAATATATCTTCATGGATGGAAAGAAGAAATAGAATGCCACTGCAAAAGGAAAATAGCTTGCTTCTTGTTTTTCTGCCATTTTAACGTGTTTGAGCCAAATAGAACTTGATATTTTTTTATATACTAACCATCACATACCATGTAGGTATATAGAAATAGACTATAAAAAAACCAAAACATTTTAGACTGTACACTTTTGGGGGTAGACAACATTTTCAAGTGTATTTTTACAGCACTTTTAGTACCCTGAATTAATTTCTAGGCCTCGTCTAAGCACCTCAGTCCTCTCTCCACACAAGACCTGGTCTTTGCTGAGGTTTCAGGTAAGATGGAAAAGGACACGAAATATGATTTAACAAAAAATCAATGTTTTTTTCAGATGCAATAATAAGACAAATTTCAAAACTGAGTTAACAAAGAAAACAACGTCTCCCAAATGTCACTATATAATAAGGTAATATTTGTTGACAAATGCACTCCGATATGAATAACAAATATCAGGGTGGTGAGTCAGCACTTACTTTCAAGATGCTGGGAGACCAACTGAGGGCAAGAATAAGGCTTCCCAGACACCAGCAAAGCATGGTAAATCACTTGGCGCAGTTGTCCCTTTCTTAATCTTTAACCTTTCTTCCTTTGGAATTTAATATTCTTAGTTCCCACAGAAAACAGTTTGTTTTTTTTTTCTCTCTTTTTTCTTTCCTAGCTTGGGAGGAGGGGGAGATTTAATCAATTATTAGCTACGAAAAGAACTTTCACTTTTGAAGCTAAGGCCCACAAGTCAATGAGGTTTCATAGGCACTGTTAAAAATGTGGTTGTTTTAAAAATAATTCCTAGAGGTATATCTTTGTATCAAAGATTAATTGTTGATTTTCACAACATGTTACAAGTAATAAGTCAGTAACATTTTGCTTCATTAGTTTAACATTGAACCTATGCAGGATCAACAACTGAGGAACAGTTTACGGTGGCAACTGATTTTATCTTATTGGCAGAATCTACCTCGAATAAAAAAGGAAATCATTTTCATGTTTTTTTTTCTATTTTAGTTATTACGATGAAAACAGTCAAACTCCTACTTATGCAGTCCTAAGGGTTGACAAAACATCTGTACTGTAGTGTTTTAAAAAAGTACTACCCATACTTGCCTGTATTCTGCCATTCATACTTATTCTGAACACAGAAATAATCTGAAGGTAACATGAAAACTACGCTAGAGATTAGCCTTCCTCTCACATCAACTACCTCAACCTTTTTCTTACATATATTTCCTTTGGTGTCCATACCTCTTGTGTCTGCATGCCCCTGGAAATCATGGTCCCTCTTTCCTCCCTCTCCAGCCTCCAGAAATGCTTCATTCTTGGTGCCTTTCTGTGGCTCTCCATTGTGTGACACCAAAAGAGAAAGCACCTCCCAAGCAGAGCCAGGGAGGAGAGGGAGGATGAGAAATAGTTGAAGGCTGCAACCAGCAACAGCGAATTGCCACTGAACTGGATGACAAATCACTTAGATGCCAGGAGAGTCTCTCTACCATGGGTATAGAGACTTTATGAAGGGGGCAAAACCAGGAGGAATGTATTCCCGTCCCCCTGCTCTGTTCCTAATCGGTATGTACAACCTAGCTCCATGAAAGAGGCTACTTGTTTCTGTATGATGAGGTTGTGAGACTGTCTCAGAAATTAAGATCCAAGAACAAACTTAAGAGAATCTCCTCTTAGAAGTGAAGCTGGCTGGTGGTGCACATAAATTTTAGCTCTCATCCCTGGCCACTTCAGCTGGCATTGGCCAAAGTTACCATCATCCCTCAAATTCCAGGAGGATGGGAGGCTTTTTAAATTATGATTTTTATACCAAAGGTCCCAGTGGGAATGCGAGAAACTACAGAGCTAAGCCACAGTCTGACACAGAATATTCTCCCTTATTTTAAATATTTTAATTATTTTTATTAACATATGGAAAATCTTTAACTGCAATTATAACTTACACTTTGAAAAAGTTAATTGGTTCAGTGCAGGGGATTAACTTTCAAAAGAGTAAAAGTCATGCCAGAGCCAAGCCAGTAGGGTCTCCTTGGAAACATTTCTGTTTGAAGCTTTTATTTGTTGCTAATATAGCATATTTTGCACTGTAGTCCAGGGAAAAAGAATCTATACATTAATGAAGAGAATAAAAGGACAAAGTCAGAAAATATAAAGTCTATACCCTATGTGCTCTGTGTATGTATTTCATCTTATTACAGCAATTATGGGATTGCAGGTCCAGGATCCACTAAGATTTGTGCCACAATATGAATAGGGTTTATAATTCAGCTAATGATTAGCTTCAAGTTTTGTTATCCACGCCTGGTAATAAAAAGCTGATCTGTATTGTTCAGCTCTAGCCCACCTTATGGTAGGAAAAGGATTTTATCAAGCTAAAACAAACTGTTGATGTAGAAAAACACTGAACCTTCATTCTTTCAGCTTACATCAATAAACTTTTCAGAAAAAATATAAAGCAGGTTTCTGACTGTTGCTTTTTTTTCTGGGAAGAAGGATATGCCAGTTTTTCTTTTCTTTTTTTCCTTTTTGGGTTGCAAGACTATTTTATTCATGACTAGGGTCAAAATGAAAAGACGATTTTTGCAGAAAGCTAATGGCAAACATATTTATTTTTCTATATTGAAAGTAAAAAAAAAAAAAAATCCAAAAGCATACATAGTCCTAAAATGAAATGCCTTTTTTTCAGGTCAAGCAAAACAGAAATCCACATATGATACAAGCAAAAATCATTAGCTATCTAAGTCCAGGAAAAGAAAGCAGGAGTCTAGAATTTAGGACATAAACATGTACTATAAAGTCTAAGCAAGTATGTTTCATATTTTATATACAAGTCATTGCAATTCTAAGCACTTCTAAAACCTTGGCTCAAATTAAGCAAAAGCTTACATCTAGGATGAGTTAGCTTAAGGAATGTTTTTGATTTTGCAGTGAACTTGGGATTTGTCTGGCAACTGAAATCTACATTTGTATTTTAGTGAGGGCCGTTTTTCACTATTGTGCATATGCATTTTCTTCCCGCTTCACCAGAACATAAGCCTGGGAAGAACCATCTGCTCATAAATTCTAGTCTCCTAGGCAAGAGACCCTTATTCTGCTCTCTAAAGATTGTCTAGACCAGGTTATTTACTCCATTAATATCCTGTTGGCACAAAACCCAGAACACTTTTCAGCATCAGATAACACACCTCTGACCAGAAGATCAACAGTCACCAGTCATGTGTCACAGGAACGAGCAGGAAAGGTCAGGAGTATCTCCAGGATTGTAGGCCCTTGAGGTAGAAGAGTATTTGGTAGGTAAATTCCTTGATAATTCCATTGCATATTCACCTTCTCAAAGCTTTGGTTGCTACTTAGAGAAGATGGTCATTTAGAAATTAAAGCTGTGGAGTGAGTGAGAGCTATAGCTTCTGGCTTTTATTATGTCTGTTCCAGTTTACTGTGACTTCTAGCACACCATTGCACCCACAGTTTCCCACATCTGTGAAATAAATGAAGCTGCACAGGCTTCAAATCAAACTCATAAGAAACTGCAAATGACCTTGCTTTGTTGCAGATGTGTTACTCAACCAGCTGTGATTTCCTTAGATTCGTTCTGTCCAGATTTAGCAAAACCAAGACTGTTTTGATGTATCCTGTCATACATGAATTGTAGCTAGAATAATAGGACAACCTCTACAGTGCTTCTCCTATATCAGTATCTGACATATTGGACAAGAGTATCAATAGATAGCATTTTAAGATATATTTACTTTACAATCAAGGTATGATTGCAGATCCTATAGGCATACTTAAACTGGCTTTGAAGCACTTGATCCGGATATTTTCAGGAGTATAGCTGGAATATTTCCAGCAGTATAGCAGCAACAGCATGGATTTCGTTCATTGAATAGCATACCCTCTGCTGGACATGTGCAGAAAAAATTAGGGCCTGTGCTATCATTATCGTTCTGCTCTAAGGATCCCAGTTAGACAGTTAAAAGCTAACGCTGGCATGACCTGTAGCTACACCTCTGAAAAAAATCCAGGCTTGTCAAAGGTAGAGGATTGGAGAGAGAGAGAGAGGGGAAGAAAAAGGAAGAGGAGAGAAAAGAAAAAAAAAGAAATGAAAAGCTGCCCTTAAGCTGAAATTCCTGATCCACTTTGAACAATCAGATCCCCCCCCCAAAAAAAAAGCAAACCCACAACTTCACTTAGCCTCCTTCTCTGTCATTCTCTTTGAACTGTATGTTATCTGCTCTAATTCTTCTGGTTATTTAAAGCCATGTTGTTATTCTGGTATATTTTGTATATTCTGGCTCTTACTCCTAATTACGTTCTGGTTTTGGACAAGGGCAATTGTTTTTCTGAGATAATAATTCTGTTGTGCATTAGAACCAGCTTTGTGTGCACTGCTAGCAGAAGCCTAAATACTCCTGCAGTTCACACAGTTATTGGGAACCTTGTCATTTTTTTCCGCAAAGGCACATATAGTAAGTATAGGTCAACTTTACAGAAGGTGATTTTTTCCCCTGGGATCGAAGTCATATCATTAGTGACATATCTCATTTACCACATTATGCAGCCAATGATTCATACTTTATATGGTCTTAATTTTGAGAAAAAATCCTTTCTTCAGCCTCAGTATTACTCACTCACCATCTCTATTTCTTGGATATTCTCTCATTTTTATTTTTAGGAACCATTTACACAAACAATAATGAGTAATTGAGTAATAATAAGTAATGAACAAAAGGTACAGAAAGAACTGGTCATTTCTGTGTAACAAATAAATATCACAGAATCTTAAATTTCTTGCATGACATTTCTCACTTCGGGTCCTTAGGCCAGAGTTTGTAAAGCTTTGAAGGCTCTATGTGAATTTATGCACCCGCTGGGATTTATTACCATTCCCAGATAAATTTAGGATCCAGAATAAAGATTTAAGGGATTATATTTTTATAGGAAGTTTTATTTCCATAGTTTGTTGTTCAAAAAAAAAAAAAAAACAACGTAATGCAGTTCTGCACAACTGTGCAGTCCCAGCTAGATTAGCAAAGAGAGAATATCTTCTTAAGGTCATAACTTCATGGAAATGTAGAAGGGGCAGCACAGATCATCAAAGTAAACATTTTTTTTAATAATATGAAAAATTTTATAGCCACTCTCCTTGAACAAGTCCTCATTTGTCCAATCACTAAGGCTAAGAAGTGTCAGTGCTCCTACTTCTATGTGTCACCAGGGCAGCCTGTTCTGAGCTGTATATTCTGGGATTTGATGCTGGTGGGGAGGCCAGACTCCATTGTGGGAGAGCCAAATGCCCATCCTTTGTCTTTCAGACAGAAACATATGCTAAACAGTTATGTGTAAGTATTCTATTTCCAATAACTGTTTTAACTGTAGACTCCCCCCACCTAAAGTGAGGAAAGAATTAAATAATCTGATTTTTCAAGAGGATACCGCCATTTGAAAACAGTTATGTGTATGGCATTCCCATCTAATAGTCACCTCTTAAAAATTAAGTTTTCCTCCATTACCGCACACAATAAAGATTTGTGCTGAGATATTGAAGGCCTTGAGTTCCTAGCTGCCGGTAATATGCTTAGAAACTCTTATTTCTATGCTTTGTGACCTTTCTATTTCTCTAGATTTCTTTGTTGGAGATACACAATGTGAAGATATTTCTACATATTTCTCCTTTCAGTTACTTGTCATGCATTTTTATTCTTCAGCCTGGAGAAGAGAAGATTGATCAATGTGTAAAAGTATCTGAAGGGGGGGTGTCAAGAGGATGGGGCCAGCCTCTTCTCCTTGGTGCCCAGCGATAGGATGAGAGGCAACAGGCAGAAGCTGAACCACAGGAAGTTCCACCTAAACCTGAGGACAAACTTCTTGACTGTGAGGGTGACAGAGCATTGGCACAGGTTGCCCAGAGAGGCTGTGGAGTCTCCTTCCCTGGAGACAGTCAAAACCCATCTGGATGTGACCCTGGAACATATGCTCTAGAGGACCCTGTTTGAGCAGGGAGGTTGGGCTAGATGATCTCCAGAGATCCCTTCCAACTTCAACCATTCTGTGATTCTGTGTGATTCTGTGATTTTAATAGCTTCTATCCATTTCTGGCATACCTCAGAGGCAAGGTCTATAGAGAAATAGTGGCAGATTTCTATTAGTGATCGAGGTTTACTGAGAACTATAGGAAGACTGGGGTTATCATTCACATGACTAGTTTTTGATGAAATTGGGAATAACAAGTGAAAGCCAGTTGTTCCAGTTCCATGAAATAGAGGAGGAGAAGGCATGTATCCTTCATCTTTCATATGTTTCTCCACAAATGAAGTTCTCCTAAGAGGAATTTTTAATTAAATGCAACACTAGCAAAATAAATAGAAATCTGAGGAAAAAATGTTATTGCTTAACGGTCCTATTTTATTAACAGAAAATATAGAAAAGATTTATTATAAGACAGGCAGAAAGGCACAATTTTATCCACAGCCTCTACCCATAAAATTGAAGGCATATTTATCTTCTTACAATACAAAGAGGTTAAAATTTTGCTCTAAACTAACTCTTAAAGACATGCTGCTGAACACCTGAAAGAGTGGAGCCCAATTACCAATCCATACTTTGCAATGATCTGATCTAATGATCAGATTCTTTTGCAGTAACAGGTGTCGAAAAGGAGTCTTAATATAGGAAGACAGAAGACTAATTATATTGCAGATATATTGCAGAATTGTTTTAATGCATCTTATATATAAAGTTTAAGAATATAGCTTTAAGAAATTAAACCTTTATATTGCTTTGTGTGTGCTGTATATTTGTTTTTGGGATAAGTCAATACAAATAGAGGAGGTTTTAATCTTCTGCATTGCCTCAATAGTGTAAAAATACTAAGACAGATAATTTTACAGATTCTGACATTTTAAAAGCTTGTGGTTTTAAAAGTAGGTCATGTAAGGCACAGAAAATGCCCTTCAGCAATTTAGACTGAGCAATGCCAGAGCTTTTCTTTTTTTAATATAAATAGCCTGAAATAGTTCTACTAAATGATATAAAATTTTAATTCTAGCTTTTATTTCAATGTTAAGAGATTTCTGTCTGCTTCCCATCTGTATTGGGCAATAGTTTCATACAATCAGACTATTTCCATTATGATCACTCATTATACCAAGTCAAAGAGGAAGTGAAAACATGTGTGACCAAAAAAAGAAAAACCTCCTTGATAAAAATATCACTTTTTTCTAGTTGAAAAGAAAACTCCTACAGGCAATAATAATCAGATTGCCTTTGTTTTCCTGTTATTTTTACTTAATTTTGCTTACCACTGTATAGGGTACTCTTTCTCAAATGTGGTATAAAAAATGCAGACATACCAAACTTTAAGGTAAAACCCACCACCTTAAGTTGGTAAAGTTGAAAGAATGCCAGCAATTTCCTGGGTGCCTCTTCATAGTCTCAAAGATAGTTAAAATGAGGAATTTTGGTCACTTGGAAATGCTGTATTTCATATAAATATCCAAGTCACAGCAATAACAGTTGGAGCTTTGCCACTAACTTTGCCAGTGGAGCCAGGATTTAAGCCTATCTCTCATAACTGTCTGGGAGACAATAGGAAAATGATACTGCAGCATTGCATCAGTTGTGAGGCTTGCACACAATTACCTATTATTCTTACTTTTTTTTTAAAAATAATCGTATTAATTGTCTATGTAATAGAACAACTGTCAAGGCAAGGTCTGGGGATTCTTATGACAATGGATTTTAAATGAAAAACTTTACTGTATCTCTCTCTTCCTATCTGTTAGTAGACATTTCTACTTCTCAGTGAACTATTTGAAAAATAAACTAGCCTTTCAACTTGTTTCCTGTACATAGCCAGTCTCTTGATTTTACTAACAGCTAAATGCTACGGCTGTGAAGGAAAAGCATATCTTTTATGGTTTTTAGATAGAACGGTAAGATATGAACATGAAAACCTGAAGAAGGTTTGAGATTTGAAAACTAATGCAATTTCTTTTACTCTCCAGTTGAATATAGCGGTAAGTCTTGTGTCAGCCCTATCTAAACAAGTTAAAGGTGTCACACGTATCATTTATGTTGAATACTTTTACCAATTAGATTTTAAATAAAGCTGTGATAAATCCTGCAGATGGGGAATTCCTGAAAATCAGCTGATTCCTGCAAGTTCATAGAGTGTCTGGTAAATATTTTGGTCTGGACATAGAAAAGTAAAGGTAGGAGTTTATTACAAACATATGTGTGCACATACCGTACTCCTCGTCCCTCTCCT